CGCGCCTCGCGCTTAGAAGGGCCCTCTGGTCACGCCGGACTCTTCGGATAATCTCCCCTTTCAAGACTCTTAACGCTGTTACATCTGCAAAATCCTGTTCGTAAGTATTTTTCCCGAGACAAGGTGTTAGGAAAAGATGATCCATCAGGCTTCACCGGATGTTCCGAGATGAGCGGGAAGGCCAGGGGTCGAGTCCCCAGGTCAGGGTCTTCGGGGCGCGGGAGTTGTTTGAGGGTGGAGAGAAAAGGGCGTTTCTGTGTCAAAGCCACACATGCATTTGGGAGATGCAGCGGAATAAACATCGCAGTTGAGCCTGTGGACTTTGCTGTCTCGCGGACCTGGATCCACATACTGCCCTCGCCGTGATACTGACTTGGGGAGCCTGAGGAGCCTGTTTAACTGAACATCAGTTTCTTCATCTTTAAAGGGAAGGTCAGAATGCGTGTCACTGAGGGCTGCTGGAGTTCAGGTTCCGTCCCACTCACGTTCAGTAGGTGATAAAGATAATTCACTCAAAGTCTTGTTTGGAAGAATCATAATCGAAAATGTGTTATTATTAATACCCTGAGCCTGGCCTCCTAAACAGTGAAAAAAAAAAATCCCAACAACCCACAATAACCAATCACGGAAGCAGGAATTTTAGATCTGGAAAGAAACGCATCCGTAAATCCTCACAAAATAACTACGGATAATTAATGACATGGACTTAAATCTTCAGGGCAAATGCCAGCTGAATTGAATTTCTTGAGTTTTATCTCAGTTTTAAATGATCCATCAGGCTTTCCTAGAGTTTTAAAGACTATAATAAAACTCACCTCAAGCTATCTGGGCATCAATCCTGAATTAGAAAACATTAAATATCTAAGAGCCCTCAGTTGATGCGCGAGCTACGGTCTAAGGGAAAGTGTTTTGAAAACTAGACTTTGCTCATCAGACCTTATCTCCCTGACGATAACGCCCAAACTTGTTTCTTGGGGAAAACGCAGCAGCGGCTTTGGGGATCATTTCCCAGGATTAGGAAAGGCCGTGCGTGGTGTCCGGCAGGGAGGAAACAAACAGACTGAGCCACAGTCCATGCTGGGGCTCACTGGGGTCATGGTGTGCTTGAAGTGACAAAGTAATCCCACTCACACGCATGACAGCCGTGCCCGCCTTCCACGGGAGCGCTAGGGAAGCGGGCAACTTCATGAAGAGACGCACACCAGCCTGGCGCTTAGGGAGAGAGCGGACTGGGATGGAGAGAGAAGTCTAAGTATGAAAAATAGTTAAAATCAGCACTTTCTTGCTGACTTGACTCCTCTAGTGAGATGTGGCACAACACTTCCAGGCTTCAAATTCACAGCTGAGGGCCTCCTGGTGGCGCAGGGGTTACCGTGTCAGCAATATCAAGCTGTCACCAGCCGCTGTGGCCTGGGTGGCCCGAGTTTGATCCCCAGCTGGCCGGGGAGCTACCCACAGGGCGCAGCAGACCTCTCCTGTCTCCCCGCTGCTCCCCTCAGAAGTGGATTTCAGTGGATCCGCCTGTTCTGCTCCCCACTCTGTCTCTGGGGAGTCCCCTCACCACCCAGCTGGCCTGCACCCCAGCTCTTGTGTGCATAAATAAATGAAAGCAAATCTTAAAAACAACAACAACACATTCACAGTTGAGTTTTGGGATTTAAAGGGAGCACCGCAGAAAGCTGGTAAACAACGTGACACAGGCTGCCAAAGTAACACAATCGGGTGGCTCTGCAAACCCCAATCACCAAAGGACAGCATGCTAAGGTCAATGCCAATCTCAGTGTCCACAAACTACGTCTAAAATGACACCCTCTGGACTCTCCTTCACCTTGTTAATCACTCAGTAAAGCTGCTCGTAAAGCCGAGGCATTCACCGAGGGTGACCAGTCACAGTGAATGGTCACTATGAAAGCCGGCCTGCCACAGGCCGCAGGCGACGTCATCCTGAGGACGAGCGTGGACACGGCGTCCTGCTGAGGAGTGCGAGTCCTGGGCTTCCGGGGAGTGGGCGGGAGTGAGCTGAGGCCGTGGGAGGCAGCCGCGCGAGTGTGCACAGAGGGGAGCTTCGGGGGCCCTTCAGGCTTCTGGAAAGGCCTTCAAAGGCACCAGTGGATGCCAGGGCACCTCAGCTGCTGCTTCTCCCGCCCTCTCCCTGCATGTTCTCGGCTATTCCAGGGACACTGTGGGCAAGCCCAGTCCTCACACTACCAGGGCACGCGTGTGCGGGAAAGCGGGCGGCTCCACAGACTCCAGAGAGCTGTCCCGGGGCACTTCTCCGTCAGCCGCACCCTCCTGGCCACGGGAGCAGCCTCCGGTGGCCTGTCCCCCCCGGTCCTCTCGAGAGCTCACCCTGGCCGCTGCTCTGACATCACCCCAGAGTCCGGGCCGTTGCCTCCGCAGACGGGAGACGCAGCTCCAACTACGAAATCATTCCTGAAGAAATCTGACATCACACATCATCTTCAAGATCAAATAATGCACAGGCGAAACAAAAAAAAAAAAGTAAAGCTTCCCAGAAAAAGCCGATGAGAAGAAAAGACACATCAGGGAGCCACAGACGAGTGGAGATAAGCCGCGGGCGAGGCCCTTCACCATCCCCCTGCCGCGCCCACACGCACCTGCTCCCTCAGTGTGGAATGGGGTGGGGGGCAGGGAGAGTCCACACCTGCTGTGTCTCGCGGAAGCGACCATTTACACCAAGGACCCGAGAATGCTGGTGGGAAAGTCAGGGAGAAGCTGGTGGGAAGGGCTTGCAGAGCCCCTTCTGGCTCCTTCTCTCCATCCCTGCCAAGGGGGAGCCCAGCCAGGTGCCCAGTGCAGTCTTGCCCGATGCCTGGATTCTCCCAGAGTGGGCCCGGGTGACGGTGGGGGCCCTGGGGTGACGGTGGGGGCCCTGGGGTGACGGTGGGGAACTGGGGTGACAGTGGGGATCTGGGTTGATGTTGGGGGCCCTGGCTCCCGGCTCCGGTGGGCAGAAAACCCACGATAACTCCACCTGGCATCACGCGGCGCATTCTGGTGTTCACAGCAGCATTACACACAATGACCCCAAAGCGAAAACAACCCAGATGCTGACCAACTGTTAGAGGGACACAGAGGGCTGTGCAGCCGCAGAAGGAGAGGTCATCTGGAAGGAGAAAGGACTGGCTACCTGTGGCTGCTCCAACAGGGATGACCTTTGGGACTATCACACCAGGTGAGAGAAGCCGTCACAGAGGGCATATGTTACACAATCCCGTTTATAAGAAGTGCCGAGGGGGGGCGAATTTACAAAGACAGAGTCGACCTTCCCAGCGAAGCTGTTGCTGACCACCACGTCTGCACACGCGCCCGCCCTCCTGTCTGGGGGCTCCTGCCCCCCTCCGCGCTAGGTTTCCCCATAGCGCGTCCCACCGTTTGCCATATTATACACTGCACATAGATCTGCTGATTACTGGTCTTCTCCCCTCTGGAGGGTAACCCCGTGTGGGGAGAAACATGTGTCTCTTTTGCTCACTGTCTCCCCAGGGCCTACGATACTGCCCGACGCATAGTAGGCACGCAATAAATATTTGCTGAATGAATTGGTTAAATACTATGTTTTATACAGGATTTTGACAACTGACGTTTCTTGTATTCAAGAGAGATTTCTGACCAATCTCCCGGTCTATCATGGAGCATGATCAAAACTTTTAAAGCATGTTACATGCTTGTGAAATATACCATTTTTAGTGGTTTCCATTTCTTAAAACCTAGCTTGCCTAAGAGCCTGAATCATTTCCATGTCATGCAGATGGAGCCAAGAGACTTCAGTAACTCGTCAAAGTTTTATTACACAACCAGGGGCTCAGCTATAACAAACTCCCAAGCACATGATCCCTTCTGGATGGAGTCCTTCAAAGAGGTCCACTACCTTAGATGACCCTCTGCTTTCTTCAGATGGAGAAATAAAAGTTCTCTTAGGGCAGTGATTTGTAATCAGCAGCGTACATCGCCAAGTGTTTTAGATAAACGGGTCCCGGCAAACCAATAGTCACCAAAAGAAATGAATTTGCTAATATTCCCTTTTTTTATTCCAAATTCAAATGTCCAAGAGCAGTTTATTATTTTTAAAGCAAAAACAACTCAGTTTCAGGTACCTCTTCAAAAAAAGAACTTGTCAAAAAGAGTAAGAAAAAATTAACCACTTCATACAATTCAATACCTTACCTGAAAGCAGATTATCTATGAAGAAAATCAACGTGGAGAATTGTCCCCCTTTATTACTCTTTTTTCGTTTCACGGAGGTAACCTTGGTGAGTTTCGGTGTACAGCGCTGCGAGTTTCGTGCACAGCTCACACCTTGACAACAGTATACACCACGCCGTGCCTGCCAGGACCTTCTGTCACATTTCATCTACTGCCCCCACCCCAACCTGTGCCACCCACCTGGGCTGTCTCCCTTCCCCGGTGGTCTTATGCCTCAGTAGAGTTTCCCTTAGAGTTACATTTAATGCATTCTATTAAGTAGGTATTTATGGGGCCCTGGAGGAGAGCGGGACGGGGTGTTAAGTCCAGCTAGATTAAGTATTTAGAAAGCAGGGAAAAGGGAAAGAGGAAATGTACGAACATTTACCGATACCGGCGTGAATCACCTCACTCACTCTTTAAAACAACCTTGAGGGGAGTTACCAGACTCACTTAGAGATGAAAACCCAAGGCTCGAAGAGGGTGAGGAACTTGCTCCAGGTCCCACAACTCAGAGAGCAGCAGAGCTGGGGTTCAAACCGACATCTGTGTGACTTGAATGTCTTTCCATTGCTCCAAATTGTCTCTACTAAGCTGCATCAGACTGTTTTCTTTTTAATGACGAAGCCGGGGGACCAATTGCATCAGAATAGAACAGGAGAAAATTAGTCTAAAAATTGCTAGATCAGGAAAAGTTTTTCAGGGAAAGTAATTAGGTAAACAAAATACAGAAATGTTAGATTTCCTGTGCTACTAATATGCTGAACCGTTGATCCATCTTCCTAAGAGACGTATGCAGAGCTGTCGCCTTGTTCCCTAGGCGGAGGAAGAAAAACACTTAACATCGAGCTACTCTCACGACACAGCTTGTTGAACAAAATGGAGCAAAGTTTTAAAGAACCGACCAGAATATTCAGACAGGTAATGTGAGAGGTGCTGTGCGAGCGAGAGAATGTGGGTGCAACATCCTAACCAGAGGAATGTCTTAGAGAGCAAAAAAATGGTGATAATGAAAAACAGTGTCCTCACATACTCGCACAGAGCGAAGATCGGTCAGCGGCAGCTCAGGGCTCAGAAGTGAGTCAATGAAAACTGCATTCACCCTGTCGACAGCAAAACCGGTGCTGGAAACCCCAAAACAAAGCCAGGTTCATGTGATTTGAAATAAGCGGGGGTGCAGCTCAGGGTGAGTGTCTGGAGGGGACAGTTTCGCTCTAACTCTACAGTTTCTATCTCTCCAGGTGACGGAACCCCAGAAACTTAACCAAAGTCTTGAGCAAGAGAAGTGAGGCCACCGCTTCATAAGGTAATAAAGATCTTTTCCTTCTCTACAAAGATGGAGAAATGGAAGTTTAAAGTGATGATGTTTAGTGTCGGATTTTCCACGTGGGGCTCGCTCTACAGCTCCCCAATACGTGTGGCAACATCACTGTTGACAGCGGCCTCCTGTCCCCCACTTCCCTATCCGGCCTTGTCACATTAGCATCAGCTTCCAAACGCAAACCTTCGGCAGTGGGGTGTAATTAAAGAGTGCAAGCTTTGGAGCCACAGAGATCTAGGCGTGAACTCCAGGGAGGTCGTTCTGTGGGCGTGGGCGTCATGTAAAGAACGTTCAGGAATGGTTCACTGTTGGAATGATAAATCCCAGGCAAGACCTGCAGCCTATCTCCAGTGCGTCTGGTAGATTTATAGGGGATTCACAAACCTACGGCATGAGTGCACAGTGTTTAGGGCCACCTCACTTGAAAACTCAAAGACCCTGGCTAGGTGGCGAGCCCTGGGTGGTAGAGGGCATGGAGGGCTGCAGAAAGAGTGAACCTTTCTCAAAACAAACAGAACGAGGCCCCAGAACGATGCTCTGGGAGAAAACCAGACGCCGGGCGTGAGCAGGAGGCCGGGGCCGCCGCAGGGGACGTCCCGTCCATCACAGCCCTTCTCGTGCGAGGGGACAGACGGGATCTGATTAAAACCAAAGAGAATCAGTCGGGCTGCACAGAGCACAAAGGCTCGCAGTATTTGCACAGTTCTTTAAAGAGGGAGAAGTCAGAAAGCAAACCACACTCCTGAAGCAGGGGGTCACGACAAATGAAGCTCTTGGGACGTCCACTTATTTTCAGAGTTTTCAGCCATCTCAGAGCCTCGCTCTCTCCGACCCTTGAAGATGTTTTGGAGAAAGGTAAGTAGAACTGTGGGGCAGGCAGACGGCAAATAGGCTGGCTGGTAGGTTGAGGACTTTATTCCTCTCCGTCTTTAAGAAGACACGTCTCTCTGTCAATGGGAGTTTATTCACATTCTAGCCAGCTGCACAACAGGGTCGAGAGCCAAGTTGCTATTGCCAAAGTTCACTCTTCAAACCGGCAGCCTGAGGTCTGATAACCAGTTAAAATGCTCAACACAATCACTGCCTTTTGGTGGAAAACAGAGGCTCCATTGTTTAGAAATACATTTTCAAGTTTAACTCTTGGAACTATGACATTCAAAACAAGGGCTATTAGGCTCAATCGGACGCAGAGTGGAGGGAATTTGTGCGTGTGTTCTAGTTTGGATTCCCTTCTTCCCTGGCTCCCCCGGCCCAGATAATAATTGGATTTCACTGGTAATGGTCAGAAGATTGTCAGTAACGGTGAGTGCTTGACCAGTTGAAAAAGTGCTGCAAAGTCATAAAATCCCATGTATGCAATCCACTACATTTCCAGACTGTATTATAGCCTTTAAAATGAAAACATCTGGGGCCTCCCTGGTGGTGCTGGGGTTAAAGTCTCAGGACTATGAAGCTGTCAGCAGCCTCTGCAGCACGGGTTCTATCCCCAGCCAGGGAGCTACCCACAGGGCGCAGCAGACCTCTCCTGTCTCCCCGCTGCTCCCCTCAGCAGTGGGTTTCAGTGGATCTGCCTGCTCTGCTCCCCATTCTCTCTCTGGTGACTCCTCTCACCCCCCCGCACCTCTGGCCTACACTCCAGCTCTTGTGTGCATAAATAAAATAAATCCTTAAAAACAATAAAATGAAAACATCTGGTCCTAAAATCTAGATTTTTCTAAAAACAATGGCAGTCACCCAGCAGCTAGGATAGAATTAAAGAACACTTATCAGTATTCTTCATTTTTATCAATGTGAAGGTGGGAAATCACTTTCCATCTGCACTAAAAATATATTCTTTTATTTGGTATTAAATATGTAGTTGTGAATATTGTATAAATTATGTCCATCTATTCATTCAATAAACACATGTGGAATGCCTGAGATATGAAGGTCCCGTACTGGGGAGACACAGTGTGTATATCAAAATAAATACAACATAGTTTGTATCTCCAGCTGCCTATAATCTTGTGGGAAACAGGAAATATAAAGACATAGAAAAAAAAGAAAACTAAGCGTGGTAAGTGTCTGGAGGTAGGAGAACACTGATAAGGGAAGTGAGCACATTTGAGTTGGGCCTGGGAGGGCTCTCCCGGCAGACACGGCTGTGGGACGTGGGAGAAACCCTCCCGGCTGAGCCGAGGGACCTTGTCCTGAGGGGAATGAGAAGCCAGTGATGGTATTTGCTACGAAAACAGACAGTACCCTGAGCAGGGATGTCCTCTAACATGTTTTTCCCAGCTAACGCCAGAAAGGGCGAGGAACTGGACTGGAAGAGCAGTTAAGACGCCCGCGTGTTCATCTGGACTTGAGTGATAAACGCCAAGTACTCGCGTGTTCATCTGAGCTTGCGTGATTAACGCCAATATCGGGGTATTGACAGTGGTGAGGAGAGAAGAAAGGCATCCAGGTCTGCTGCAGGGGCTCGTTATTCTGTCACGCCATGAAGGCCTACACTTCACGGGGATTAGAAAATGCCAGGTGATATTTTCAGTTGAAATTATTCCATGTATTGCTAAAGTACATTCTGTGGGATAAAGTAGAAAAACTGTATGATCAGCTTAATAGATGCAGGAAAAAAATCATTTGACAAAATTAAAAATCCATTCATGATGAAAACTCTTGGCAAACGAGGACTAGAATGAAATGTCCTTGTCCTGATAAAAGGAATCGATGGAAACCTAGCTTACGGTCAACTTAAGGGGGAGAGACCGTCTGCTCCCCCCTTCCGGTGAGGACCCCTGCCGCGGTCACGGTCTCTTCAGCACCGGCCTGGAGGCGCTCACAGGCGTGATAAGCTCGTTCTAAAATGACAAGGGCGGCACCAGGCGCCCAACGTAGCCCAAACAACTGAAGAAACAAAAAGGACAACGTTGACGGACTGATGCTACCTGATTTCAAGACCAGCGATGACGCTACCGTCGCCAGGAAGGGCGGTGTCAGCACGCAGACCGCGAGGCGCTCGCGGAGACACAGCAGCCTGGGAACAGACACGCCCGGCTCTCCTGGGCGGCTTTCTCAAAAGTTCCACAGCAAAGGAGAATCTCCTCCACAGAAAGTGGGACGATTGTCCTTCGCCTCTCAAACAAGACAAGACACTTGACGCCACACACTGAACTCAATCAAAATGGGCCACGGACCTGAACGGGAAAACTGAACATTTACAACTTTTAAAGGAAAATATAAGATAAACATGTTGGCGTCTCTGGCTAAGGAAATGGAACTGAAAACCACGAGATGCCAACACATAATCAATAGACGGGCTAAAAGGCAGAAGACCCACATGTCCAGCGCTGGAGGCATGAGGAGGAAGCCTCGCGCTTGCAGACGGCTGGGGAGGGCGCGGGACGGCACCCCCTCTGGAAAACCGCTGGGCAGTTTCTTGGAAAGTTGGGCGCAGGCCTGCTGCGAGATGCCGCCGTGCGCTCAGGGCCCAGGAGAAGCGACGCTGCAGAGCTGCATGGCGACGGCCACACGCGCGTCACAGGTGCCTTTCCTGCGCGGTCCAAGGGGAGACAGCGCAGACGCCCACCGACGAGGGCCCTGGAGAGCCGCCCCGGGCTAGAGCTCCACACCAGGGCACCGCGCGGTGCAGAGAAACGAGCCAGGGGTCGACACAACACGCCCACGAATCTCCAGACACCTGTGCCGAGGGAAGGAAGCCAGAGCCCCTCCCTCAACAAAGACTTCACGGCGTGTCACAGCCAACCCGCAGCACAGTCAACCGTAAAAAGAAACAATCGGGCGAAAGAGAAGTCGCTCCGGGGAGCCCAGCAGAGGGAACGCAGCCCACAGCGAGGATGGGAGCGACGGCAGCAGAAGACACGGGGAGTCAGAGCTCCCCGTTGTGATGCTGGTTGTGGCTCCTCTTCCTTAGCATCATCTCGCACTGCAGCTTGGGACGGGGACGGAGGGGGCTCCCCATGGAACCTGCTCCTTCAGATGCCGAGGCGGCTTCTGCAAGCCGGGACCCAGCCCGGAGAGGCCAGGAGGCGGTGCCCGGCAGGGAGGCTGCTGCCGAGGAGGGGGTGACTCTGCTCAGACGCCTGCTGCAGACGAAGCCCTCCCTGCTCCAGCCGCCAGGAGGGTTCGCCCCGGGGCCCCCAACTGCGTTCCCCCCAACCACTGTCCTGGGCCGAAGGGAGACACTTCCCCCAAGGCTCTGCAGCCTCCCGAGGGCCCGAGCGCCTGCAGGGCGGGCATGTCCGCAGTGCTGCCCCACACGCGACCTGCTCACAACCGCCGAGGTTCCGGGAGCCAGATCCGAGACGGCCCCGACCCACTCAGCCAGAGGGCGGAGGTGTGGGAGGCGCTCAGGGCAGGCTCGCGACTGGAAGGAGGGCTTGCCATCACTGGCCAGAGAAAAGGGAGAGTGTTCCAGACGCACGGCTTCAGCCGAGAAGACAAACGACGGCGACTGTACCGGACGGACGACAGTGGTGCCGGGACGCTCGGCCCCCCCCCCGCCCCCGCCGCAGGGGGACAGGGTCCCGCATTCGCCGCCCCTGGGGGACAATGAGGACGACGCTCGGAAGCTGGCGGATCCACGAGCCACGTCACTGGCGACCTGGAGCTCTGTGTCCCGCGGAGAAGGCGCCCATGGGCAATCTGCAGAGCGCCAGGGATGCCAGAGGCGAGAGGGCAGAGGCCCTCGGAGCCCGAGGACAGTCACCAGCACCCACAGCCCTGAAGAGTTAAAAGTAAAAGTGCTGAATCCAGAGTTCTGCTGGGGCGGGGTGGGGGGGGAGCAAGAGGATGTCAGGGCAGGGGACGAGGAAGGCCTCTGTTTGTTTGGTTTCCTGGGGCCGGGGGGGCTTCCTGAGGGCTCTGCCAGGAAGGCATCGTTCTGCCCGAGTGGCTGAGGAGGGGATCCGTGGCCTCTTCACGTCAGGCCGGCCGGGGGCGGGGGGGGCAGCCTACCTAGGACACAGAGCTTGCGCCTGGAGAGGAGGCCCAGCCGAGGGCGGTGAGGGCGGTGAGGCTGCTGCCCGCCTGGCGTGGTCCTGCTCCCCCGCCCAAGCACATCTGTCACCAGAGTCATCCCGGCTCTTCAACGAGACGGCGGGGACTCGCATAAGGTCAGTCCTCCACGCTTTTCAGACTGGAGTATCTCTTCTCACACCACGGGCCTGCAACCACGCGTGGCTGCGCATCTGTGAGGTGAGCCCGGTCCACGTCGCTGGCAGCTCTCACAACCTTTGCTGTTCCCAGGCCCAATTCTGCAGCGGGAGCGAGAGCAGGAGCCGGAGCCGCGAGCTCCTGCAAACGCCTGACTTCAACTGCGCTGCCCCCTGACTGCCGTGCAACCAGGGTACCTGCTTGCAGGCCTCAGCTTCCTCAACTGTAAATGGAGATAACAGCATCTTCCTGGGGGCGTCAGACCTGATGGGGTGTGTGTGCCCCACACGAGGCTGGCTCTGCCCCATGAGGAAAATGCTACCACCCATTCCTCCTGACCAGCTCAGTGCACACAGCACCCAACACACACACACACACACACACACCCATTGCCTGAAGGTTACGTATCTTTATCTGCATTACATGAACTCCCTCCATGACACCTTGACTGCACAATCATCTACTATATGTTCTTGGACCTTTTCTTGTGAGAGCACCTTTTTAAAAACTGTCCTATCCCATCCATTTCATAGACTTACTCCCCATGGCTTCACACACCAACCATGTCCTGTCATCATGGATAAACCTCCTAAATCCCCGGATATCTCCGCTCAGCTGCGCATCTGTGTACTCCGTGGCCCAATTGACATCTCCGTCCTCGATACTGTCAGGCAACTGGAATTCAACTCGAATTCCAAATCAATCATCTCCACCCACCTCCAGCAGCCACCAATCCCGTTTTCTCTTTTCTTCTGTCCTTAGAGAACGACATAGAAGAGCTGCTAGAAGTGAGCACTCGGGAACCTCAGTTAGCCAGACATGGACCCCGGCTTTGCCACTTACAGGCGATGAAAACTTGGGCAAATTATTTAACCTCCCTTTCCCTCAGTTTATTCAACGGTAAAATGGAGAAATATTGGCACAAATAGCATGTTATTAGAATGATCGTGATCACACATGTACACACCTAGACAGGGGCTGACACTCAACCACCAACTCGATGGTTATTAATCATCACCATTAACTCGTTGTGCGGGATACTTTCAGGGGCTTTTCTTTGATGACCGAGATCTTGGGATTCTTAGTCACCGCTGTATGATCAGTTCCTGGCAAAACGCCTCGCACATGTTAGATGCTCAGTGTGCTTTTTTTAACTGAGCCAAAAATATCTACAGCTTATTGTAAAGTTACGATAAATAATTTTGTGGAATGAATGAATGAATGTAAATAATTTCGTGGCATGAATAACCGCACACATAGAAATAAGTGCTAAGAAGAACATTTATATTGTTTCTCCTGGTGCCCTGGCGTGCCTCCTTCAGGCAGCAAACGAGTGGCGCACGGCTCACCACACTTCTCTTTCTAGAACTGTCAAGAAACAGAGTTAAATTTGGGACTCACTGTAGGAACTGGAGCTAGCCTAGATTTTCTGGTGCCTATAGTTCCCCCAATTATATTGAGGGTGATAATGGTTCATCACTATGTTTCCGATGGAGCCGGGGGGCAACCGTCACGCTCCTTATGGAGTAAGAGAAGTTATCCTGGAAACCCAGCCCGACTGAGCCGACCAGCAAAATCACGTGGTTCAACTAGGACTGAAAACGAACTGCAGCAGCATCTATCCGCAAATCGGAAGCAACGAATACGGAAAAAGAACGTCATCTTGCCAAACGAGCTATTCCCAAATCTTCCAAATGACTTGAGATGGCTTGGAAGAGAACGCCACACAAGTGTAATTCATGATTATATGCTTCATTTAGACGTATGCCATTAATTTAATCGCTTGGAAGTTCTACATAAAAGCTACCTTGTGGAAAGTCATTCTCAAGGACGTCCCTCTTATTTAATGAAAGAACTACAGCCAGGTTTTTCTCAGAGCATCAGTGACAGTCGTGAGGCCTGCCAGCGCGAGCTGGTCATTACACTGATGTCCACAGCGTCTTTTCAACGAGGCTACCTTCCTCTTTTCTTACCTGAGTGCAAGTAGAAGGAGTGGAGAGGGGGAGAAATTTGCATAACGGATGGAGTGGTTATAAATGCACAGAATTTCAGGTTCTGTACTCAAAGGCGTTCCCCTCAGGCCATGATGAACACGCACTTACTCGCATTTTACACAGATTTCTAATACCCACGGAGATCTGATTTATAAAACTAATGAAGGCAATAAGTTAAACATGGCAAGAATCAAGCAGTGCCAATAAGAAAGATAACCAAATAATACATTTCACACCGAAAGGCTCAGCAACCACAGCTGGACGAGGTCCTTACACGCAGCGGAGCCCAGGCTCCCCGGCACCATCCTCCAGAGAATCGTGTTCAATTATGTTCAGTCAAACTCAAGCTATTAAGCAAGGAAGTGGCCGGCAGCTAGAAAGGACTTTCCACTCAAAGGAGTCAATTCTGTTTCTTCCTTTTCTAAACGGGCATGTTGGAGGGGTGGACCACGACCCCCTCACTGGGAACAAACAGGCCACGCAGAGGGCTTGGGGAGGAATCTCACGTTGTACTATAAAGGGGCGGATTTGATGAAATCCACGTAAAATTCTAAAAATTCCAATTATAATTTTAGAGAGAAACCACGTACTCACCGCTCTTGCGCTTAGCTTACTGTAACAGCACAGACCAGCACGAGTCTCCACACCTGTACCCGGCGGAGCCGTCAAATCCAGCAGACTTGACTGGTATTTTTTAACCTTGGAAGCCCAGTCCTCTGAGCCTGCAGTTTAAAGTCTACTTTTCGGCACAGTGACGAGAACCCAGCGTCACGCCTTTATTGTATTCACACAGAAGGCCAAGGGATGGCAGCCCAGCTCAGCAGGTGCACCAGGCTGCAGCAGGGCAAGGCAGGAGGAGGGGCTTGAGGAAGAGAGTGGACCCATCTCACATGCGCCCACCAGGCCCGAACGCGCCCTCAAGTCTCCCTCTCACGATGAGCCGCTCGCTCCTGGACCAGCAACACCAGGTGATCGTGCCACGTCCCCGCTGTTTAAAACTCACTCCGCTGAGAGTTTCAAAACACCCCGTCTAGAGCGAAGCTGCCTGTGCCGGACCCGGGCAGGGCAGGGGCGGCCCAGCTGTCCCCAAGCAGCCGCGCTCTGGCGTCCACTGCGCCGATGAAGCGGACTCGCACGCGTCGGCCACAGAAGCCCCCGCCGGCCTTCGTGTGACACTTGGAGGCAAGTTGCCTCCAATTGTGAAAACACTAGACTCTCAAAACAAATGGAGGCACAAACAAATTCTGTAAACACTGTTTTTAAGCCGACACCCTCGTTAGTGGTCTGGTGCGCGCTGAAGAATGCAATTAAGAGCCATGAGCCGTTCAGGGCACCACCAGAGCCGCTTGTCTTGAGGCCTGTGTTTTAAACAAGAAGCCGAGCTCCCGGCGGACTCCTCAGCGGCCTGCAAGGGGAGGAAGCATCAAAAGGCTTCCTGCTTCCTGGCCTGAATTCCAGACAGACCCTCCCGGCCCCGGCCCGGGCGGCCGCCGCCCAAACACACGCTCCCTGGCCCTGGCCTTTGCCTCTGGTGTTTGGGGTTTTGTTTTCTAAGAAGGGAAAGCAGAGGAGCAGCTACCCGAGACAGATAGACGAGGCTGACAGACCTTCGCTCGGGCAGCTGCAGAGGGAGGCCTGGCGGGGAGGCTGGGAGGGGAGACGGTTCAGCACGAAGAAATGGGGGAGAAACCCAGAGAGAAGACCGTGTAGACGAGAACGTGACGAGGCGTGTCGGGAGCAGACTCACTGGAGGGCTGAGCTGCGGGAACTTGATGGGCTCTAAGCTCGATCCCGCCATTTTACAGACGAGGGAAGAGAAGGGGGAGCCACACGGCTCCCTCCCCAGGCCGTGATGCCGGCGCCTGCCTCTTCAGAGCTCCCTAGCGAGGCGCACCCTTGGGAGACAAGGACGTCTCGACCCACGCGGTTGTTCTTCTCCCGAGAAACAGCATGTTTTCCCCTTCGTGGCGGCTGTGACGTGTTTCACAGGCCAGGTTTCCCTTTCCACCGGGGGAAACAAACCTTCCTGGAAGCCCGGGGCCGCCTCGTTCATCAGGCCATGGTGGGGCCATTTTTCTTAATCTTATTTCTACTCCCCCTTAATCTTATTCCAGCCCCCTGGATGCACTCTCTTGTCCTCCCAGGCTCTCCATTGAACATCTTCGTTCTCTTGGATTTTGTGGATCCTTACAAGCTCCCCTAAACCGTGCTGGACCCGAAAGGATATATTACAAATACCTTATGTAACATTTGCCCTTCTAAGGACCTTGGGGTGCTCACAGGCCTGCGCTCACAGTCTCCCTGCACCTCGCAGCGGAGGGAGATGGAAGGATACTGTTCTCCCTCTCGGGGTCACACTGGGAACCGGAGGGCAGTGCTGGGGCTGGCTTTCCTGTCCACTCCCTTAGAAAACACGCCCTCCTAGCAAGACTTGTTGGGATCCTCACTGAAAACTCAATTCAGATTTTATACATTAAAAAAAAAATCAGATGAAATTGGGAAGAACATTAGCAAAACCTTCAAGTCTTTAAGACACATTTTAATTCAACTGAAAGACAATTCAGGCTGAAATAACCTCAAAAATATTTCTAAAGGAATTTTGCAAACAATTGCTGAAGGTGCCAATGGGGTGAATATTACTGTTTCCCTCTATTTCCAGATGATACAAACAGCACAATAACTGACATCACCTTCCAGCTGTTCAGCTGCCCAAGGCATCATTTTTATTTGGGCAATAGCACCTAGAAAGGGGGGAAAAGAGTAACAGAGAAAGCAGTCAAGTATTCTTTTCCGCTCAGCTTCTCAGGGGACGGGGTTGGGTTTAGGGCGCAAGTGAGCGGGAAGCAAGAACACGCCACGCTGAGTAGTCACCGGAGACACAACCAGACACCTTTTCAAGCCTCGAAGATTCCCCATCCCCAGCCAGGGAGGCACCTGCTCTGCCCAGCTGCACGGGCCTGTGCGGGTCTCTACACAACACATGTGACTTGAAGAGAAGTGAAATGTGGACTGGATGAAGTGTCAGCATTTAGATTTAGAAGCAGAGGAAACACGCCAGGCAACCAGAACACACGAGACACGCCCACCCTGCCGAGGGCAGCCTTCCTAGAAGCCCACGGCGCCCTCGCTCCTCTCCGGCCACCTCCACGGTCCGGCTCCTGCAAGGCTGGCTTCTCAGGCCACGGGGCCCGGGCACCCACCTCCGTAGAGAGCACCCAGCCCTTCCCCTCTGAGAACATCGCACACTGCAAGTTTGCAGGACACAACTTACTTTTTGGCTGACCCGGTAGCCTAGGGCCGCCCGCTGCTGGGTGGGAGTGACGGAGATTCCAGGCTAAGTGTGCCGGGAGCACCTTCTAGAACTCGTGTGCTGTCTCCACACTCCAGGAGGGTCGTGAGACCAGAAAACACGAGACTACTGACATGGGTGGAAAGAATAAAGAAGAAGGCACCGCGGCGTGCATGCAGAGAACACTTACTAGGGACTAGTCGGGGAGAAGAGTTCAGACAAGCCCCCGGGTGTTTGCTCAACACACGGGTCCTCACAAAGCCCCGAAAGGCTGTTTATTGTTCTCACGTCAAAGGTCCCTGAACACAGAGAAATCAAAATGTCAGGATTTTCCCTGTTAGTCCTAAGGGAGATGGGTCTTGAGGAGGCTCTCAAACTCTCCAAATTCAGCATCCCTGCTCTAATTAATCTGCCATATGGGGCCCAGATGTCGTAGACAAGTTGGATTTGAACTAAATAATTCATAAAATCATAATAAATTGCTTTTGAGGTATGGAAAATGCTAACTTATCCATCTGTAAAGAGAAGCATTCCTTTTTTTTTAAAGATTTATTTATGCATACAAGAGCTGGGGTGCAGGGCAGAGGTGCGGGGGTGAGAGGAGTCACCAGAGACAGAGTGGGGAACAGAACAGGCAGACTGACTGAAATCCACTGCTGAGGGGAGCAGCAGGCCAGACAGGAGAGGTCTGCTGTGCCATGTGGGTAGCTCCCTGGCTTGGGATTGAACTCGTGCTGCAGAGGCTGCCAACAGCTTCATAGGTTGCATCTTAACCCCTTGTGCCACCAGGGAGGCCCAAGAGAAGCATTCTTAATGTTTCTGGGATTCCATTATATCAAGGTCTATACAGGAATATATATATATGTATTCCTGTATATATATACTATATATATATATATATATATATAGTATTATATTTATATATATAATGCAAGGGCGTTAAAGGTCCTCTTTTTTTGGTTGTATATGATTCTGGGACATTGTCATCAACATACCTGCTTTTCCCACCATGTAAAAATTAACTATTTAGCCTGGAATTCTTAGGTCTCCACAATCTAATTCCAATTTAACAAGACCCAGAAATTATTACCCATCAACATGCAACGTCCGTGAAGGCGACCTGAGACTTCACAAGCCCCCGCTGAGCACACCCTCACTCTCTCCTGCTGTCTCTTCCTCCCCTCCTCGGCTTTGGGCCTCCGACTCCTAGAACTTTGCTTGGCGAAAAGCAGGCATTTGATCCAGAACGGGTTGGTTACAAGCACAAATCTCTCCAGCTTCGTGAAACTCCGTTTGAAAGAGGGTAAAGAAGGTAGAAAGACTCACAATGAGTAAACTTGGATTTGAGCCCTTAGGCAAGTTGTTTTTAGTTTCAAGTAACTTCAGTTGCATCATCAGTATATGGGAATAATTATGGTGGAATTATGTGTAAATTTGGCGAGGTCCTGGTGCCCAAACATTACACTGGTCATTTTATAAAGGTTTTTTTTTGGGGGAGGGGCTATAAAATTAACATTTAACTTGGTGGAGAGTGAAGCAGGTTACCATCCATAGTGTCATCCGCCATTTAGCTGAAGGCCTCAGTGGAACAAAGACTGACCTGCCCTAAGCTAGAAGGAGTTCTGCCAGAGCTGCCTTTGGACTCGAAATGCAACTATCCCCCGAGTCTCCAGGCTGCTAGTCTCCCATGGAGAGTTTGGATCCAGCAAGTCTCCACCATCATGTGAACTCACTCCTTTAAAACTCTCTCTCTCTCATTTCTACTTAACAAATATTTATTTACTGAACATCTACTATGTGCCATTGCAGCCACTGGTGACTGAGAGGTGTGCAAAAATCAAAGGCCCCCCCGCCCACCCCATGGAGTTGACAGGAAGGTGGAGACTCAAAGACATCACCGAGGGGTTAACGCGTGGGTTAAGGGTTTCCGTTTCAATAACAACCCCCTTTGAATTCTCTATCTTACTCATGAAACCTGGGCAAGCAAGTCTAAATAGAAACTCTAGAATTCAGATTGCAACAGTCACTGGGAAGAAGTGGGGGTGGAGTGGATAAGTGAGAAATGCTGGGAATGCTGGGGAAATGCTGGGGGGCCTCCTCGGGAAATGCATGAAAATATGCAGAGCAACCTGAAAGTCCAGGAGGAAAGGCAGCAGCAGTGGCTGAGAGGATGCTCAGAGGCCTTCCAGGCCTTGTTCGTTAACTGGCTGCAGTTATTTTTCTGCAGGATATCTACGGAATCTGTAACCTACAGATGTTTACAGGCCATGGGGGGCTTTGTGTGCAGATCCCGGAAGAATCGAGTAGAGCACATTGGTGGATAACAAAAGCCTGAAACAACAATGCCTGGGAACAGACAGAAATTCAAGAATTCTTGCAAGGTGGGTCATGGACACAGCCCCACACAGGGCAGTGGAGAGTCTATGAGTGCAGAGGAAGGAAAGCGTCCAGGGGGCCAGGGCGTCTTCCAAGGACTTGACAGCTGGGGGAGGAGGTGGCTGCGGGGCTCCTGAGGCCGGTGGAGCGGAGGCAAGAAGTCATCGCCAGTAGGTGGAATGGCCTGTGGAGACCTACCCAGTAAAGCTGACTCAGAGGCAACTGACAATGCAGGAGCACAGGTCAGTCAGGAGGTGAGGCCCAGGCCTGCTGACTCAGGAGTCACGAGCAGGAGGTGACAGCGGAAGCGGCGGGTAGGCGGGTTCTCTGAGTGTGTGTGTCCCTGGCCACGCTCGGAGCTCCCACGGGTATATGAGCATTGAGAATCTCTTCCCTATCTTCTCTGGTTAAAATTTCAGTCCTGGGCCTCCCTGGTGGCACAGGCAGTTGAGCACCGCACTGTGAAGCTGTCCGCAGCCTCTGCAGCGTGGGTTCCATCCCGGCTGGCTGGTGAGGGTCCCACATGGCGCGCAGACCTCTCCTGCCGCCCGCTGCTCCCCTCAGCAGTGTCCTTCGGTCCTTCTGCCTGCTCTGCTCCCCGCTCTGTCGCTGGTGAATCCTCTCACCCTCCCGTGCCTCTGGCTTGTACCCCGGTTCTTGCATAAATAAATCAATCTAAAAAAAAAAATTTCAGTCCTTAAACGCAAGTCAAAGCCACAGTGAGACTTCACCTCATGCTGTTAGAGCGGCTGTTACAGAAAAGTCAAGAAACAGTAAGAACAGCCAGCGCTGACGGGACGTGAAGCGAAAGGGACTCTTCCACTGCTGGGGGGGGGGGGGGGGGATGGACACGGGTGCAGCCACGGTGGGAAACAGGACGGCGGTTCCTTAAAAAATTAAAAATAGAACCACCCTGTGATCCAGTCACTCCACTTCTTGGGTATTTACCTGAAGAAAACGAAAACACTGATTCGAAAGGACACACGTGCCTTTGTGCACTACAGTGTTGTTCACAACAGCCACGTGTGCAAACATCCCAGTGCCCAACAACGGGTGAGTGGATGAAGAAGGGGTGTGTGTGGGGGTGGGGTGGGAGGACACGATGGGACATATGCTTACCCATAAAAAAGAGGAACTCTTGCCATGTGTGACCATATTTAAGGGCCTTGAGGATATTATCCAAGTAAAATAACTCAGAGGGAGAGAGACAAATACACGATGATGTCACTCCTTTGTGGCATGTAAAGAGAATGAAAACAAAACCAGAAACAACCCCCTGAACTCTGACAGGGGTCGGGGTTGCCAGATGAAGGTGCAGAGAACAGACGGGGGAGCTGACTGGCGGCTGCAGGTGGTGACGGGCACGAGGTGGTAAGAAAACATACATTATTGGAAAATGTGACTAATATTTGAGGAACATGGAGGTTTAAGCATCAGAAAAGGGGAGGAGGTCAGTGATCAGGAAAACACTTTGCACTTACTCTGCGGGGAACGTGGGGGTATCGCTGCGGTGAACCCAGACCCCTAACCAGGGTAGACGCCCCAAGAAGAAAAAAAGAACAACCAACATTATCCAATCAAAAAAAAGAAAACTGCAAGAATTATTTTGCCTTTTAAAATTTAACTCAGGGCCTCCCCGGTGGCGCAGCGGTTGAGTGCTGGGTTGCGAAGCTGCCCGCAGCCTCTGCGACGCCAGTTCGATCCCCGGCTGCTCCCCGGCCACCGGAGGAGGGTCCCACATGGCACGCAGACCTCTCCTGCCGCCCGCTGCTCCCCTCAGCAGTGTACTTCGGTCCTTCTGCCTGCTCTGCTCCCTGCCCTGGCTCTGGTGAATTCTCTCACCCTCCCGCGCTTCTGACTGTACCCAGTGCATGTACAACAAACAAACAAACAAAATAAAAATAAATAAATAAAAATACATGCCTCTTAAAAAAAAAAAAAAAAAAAAAAAAAAAAAAAAAATTTAACTCAAGCTCTAACTCCTCGAGCTTTCTGTCCTCGATGGTTGATTCTCAGTGTATGGGGGCGCCCTGTGACCAGGCGGGGGGAGAGACAGCCCTGGCGCGGCCCCCGGGAGAGCCGGCGCCCGAGGACACGACTGGAGAGGACTCTCTCCGCGCTGCCCACCCAGCTGCCCACCCAGCTCTTTCTCCCTCTCTGGTCGGCGTCTGTCCTTGTCGGGATTCTGGGTTCCCCGGCAGTGATGGCCCCACGTCCCCAGCTTCATAAGTGGAGAGTGTTTCCCTCGTCGCGGACCCTCCCTGCTGCAACGCTGAGCCCCGCCTGCTCCTGACTGTTCCCCCCTCTACGTGTGCACTCTTGGGGCGCCACGGAACGAGCCCTTCTTCCAAACGGCATCTCCCAGGAGCAGCCAAACCGTCCTTTGCACCCAAGAGTGCGCCTCTGGGTCAACGCCACAGGACGCAGCTGGCCCGGTGACTGGCCCCGTCCACCAGGCCCTCGCGCGACGGAGGAGAAGATGCCAAGAGACTCACTGAAGACACGGCAAACCCGCCCAGGCCCTGCCTCCCGCCCTCGCCCTGCCCCGGCCTCCTGGGGGACCCTCCACGTCTTGACAACCTGATGCACTTCTCGCCAAGGCGCGATTCAAGCGTGTGCCACTCTGTGAACTATTCCCTGGCCTCGAGCCTGCCGAGGAAGCGCGACCCCCAGGGTGCTGGACTCTCCCATCTTCAGGTCTTGTCGTCAGGCCAAGCCCGTCCACCAACACCGCCTGTCTGCGGGGCGCGTCCCCCCTGCGCGCACACAAGTGACGCTGGCGAGCCCGGCGGCCTCCCCGTGGGCAGGTGTTGCTCGGGCATGAGCCCAGAGCTTCGCGCGCGGCAGCCACACCCGGCAGCGACGCCCTGCTCTGGCGGAAAATTCAAGCTCTTTCAAAGACTCAGACACGCGGAGATGAGCGAAGCACAGAGAGGCCCCGGGTCTCCTCCTGCCTGTCCCCTTCCAGCTCCTGCACCTCCCGGCCGGCTCTTGCCCTCAGGCGTGTCCCAAATTTAATATTTCACGCGGGAACAAAATGACGTGTAATGGAAACACGGGGTCTCAGGCTCTCCTCAACAGTGTTAGACTCCTCTGTCATCTCTCTGGGGAGATATTCCTGTCCGGGAGGTTTTCAGGACGCGCGTTAACCCTGGATCTAGAGAAAGGACTGGCAGGAGACTCCTCGGGACGCTTGGGCCCAGTTCTGGTGCCCCTTGGCCGAGACTGATGGACTCACCACGCAGCATTTCATGCCAAACACGCTGTCCCCCTCCTTGCCCTGTCTGGCTCCCTCCATCTTCTTTTCCTCCTTGCTGGGACTTTCTACTTTTGATCATCGACATATTGGGACATGAAAATTATAGCGCCTAACTCTCCATAAATGTTAGCATTTCGCTCCACTTTGCTTCGCTGTAACCCTTTCCCAGAAAGTCTGCGTTCTGGGGCACTGAGGGGAGCTGATGACGCCACCTCGACATTGTAATTTCTGCACGGCAGGTACAGCCTCCTCGCGGGCATCCTTTTCTCTTGCTAATGGACGCGAGTATTAGCATTTTTTTTGTCCTCAAAGTTGACAGAAAGTTCATCAAAATTCAGATACTGTACATCTTGGCTAGTTTTCCAAATGGCCATCAAGGAAGAACACGGAGGACCAGCAGTCACCTGCCTTGGGGAGAGACTGAGTTGCAGACGCCGAAGCAAGAGATCATGGTGAAGAGAGAGTCGTGTGGACGGCAGCCACCCTGCCCGTGCGCGCGGGGCGACCCTCACCCAGAGCGGCCCTTCTCTGCACGTCGGCTGGGGAAGGTCGGCTGCTTACTCTGAAAGAGCTTCTGTGGCTAAATCAAGATCCAGGCAACAAAACCCACCACTTTACCTCAGCTGTTGAAGCCTTCTGGACACCCGGGGGAACATCAGGTGCCGTGACAGTCGCCCCCTCCTGCGTTTTGCAAACCGACGCCACTGACCAGCTGTAAATAGCCGTCAGCCAAATGGCAGGGCTTTGTCAAGTCGTGATGTCACCTTTTTTACACAAAGTTTTAAAATAATTCATTCCTTTTTTCAATCATTCATTTGGCAATTGCTTATTACTTTCCAGGGCCAGGCACTGCACAGACAGCGCCTCCAGGTGAGAAGTGCTTGGAGACGGTCAGAGTCACATCCTCAAACAGGCTGGTTCTCCAGGAAAGCAACCCTATGGTCCCCAAGAGGGTGATCTCTCTGGGAGTCCCCTAAACTCCTCTCCTCGGTCGTCAGTAAGAGGCGGCACTGGCCAAGGGATACAGGGAGGACGCGCCTAGTTATTGAAGCAAAAAAGGTCTTTACAGATGAATTTGCTTCGTCCTGCACGCTCCTGTTAGCCAGACGAACGCAAATAGTCTTTTTGAAAATCAACATGAAATCAGTTATTGGCATTTTGAAGAACCCTGACACCCTGTCCCCCAAACTGTCCATGTGACATCTAAGTGAGAGGATCCGCTGAACGGTGCAGCCGGCGAACGCCGCTTACCCCGGGAGTCACCAGAGGACGGTGACTGCCGTTCCCAAGAGCAGCGCTGGGGTGGGGTGCGGGGTGGGCCGTAGAGAAACCCAACTGGTCTGTAGCACAGACCAAGAGGCATGACACCCGCTTTCTCTGGGGCTTAATCAGAAGAACCCAACCCATGGAGAAAGCTTCGAAAGTAAAAATAACAGAAACGGGAAGACGTAGGTTTGCAGGGCCCCGCTCGTTCGGGTCCTGTCACAGAGCAGTGGTTTACCCCAAATGGTATGAACAGCGTTTTGAGTGGCCAGAGGGTCCACATCACCAACTGACTAGTTCAGATGCTTAAGAGTGTGCAGCACTGACTCCCGCCTTTCTCAAGTGACTTCCTCCAAAAATGAGCAATTTCGACAGCCATCTTTGTATATTTTTCACACAGAACTAAGAAACTCAGAATGTCTTACTTAGTCTAATAAAGGAGAAAATTATCTTGATTATATTATGCAACAAAGGAATTTTAAAATGGGCATCTGGAGGAAGATCATTTTGATTAGAGAGACAGATGAGGCTATGAA